TTCCATGCGAATTGTCTGAAAAGAGCGGAATTTGGGTGGGCGGCAATGTATTGTTGTGCATATAAATTGCTTTGGCCTACAATCAATTGATACAAATCTTCTGTGAAAAACAGCGGAGGGGCTAAATGCTAGTGCTGACAGCGAACGGGACTGATCTTGCTAATACTGGATTTTTGGGGGCACTATACAAAGGGGGCACTAGTATAGCTGTTTCTATTCGTAATCAATCTATTGATCCGTACCAACACTATACCAGTAATGGCTGTGATCAGAGACCTATAGCATAAGTGCGGTAGTGTGAAGGCAATCTAACGCTAGAAAGCACGTAACACTTTGCTCAGAGGCACCAAGCTGCCTCTCACCCGCAGATTAAGGGCGGGCAGCTGGCTGCCAAAAAAAAAACCTTAAAAAAAGTTTTAAAATATTTTTTCTCAATATTTTATTTTATTTTTTCCTAACATTATTTTGTATTATTTTAAAAACTCACCAGAGTAGTTCAATATTACCATAGTAACATTGTACTACTCTGGGCGGGTAATCAGGGATTTTTTGTTTTTAAACTTTGCTTCACAGGAGCAATAAAGAATATTGCTCCTGCAATGCAATGCTTGCTTTGAACTGTCATGAATGGGTTAAGTTCATGACAATTTAAATACTAGTGATCTGTAATTGGCTACAGCTAATCACATGGTATAGGATGCTGTGATTGGCCCATGTACCATGTGAGAACTGCGGGCCAATCACAGCTCCCCAGGAACTGAAGAAAAGCTGTTATGAATCAGATTGATTCATAACAGCTTTGCTAGCATTGTGACCATGATTACCAGGTGCCAATTACCGGGATCTGCATTCCACCGTGTCCCTGCGTTAGTACAACCAGAGTGACATACCTGTACATTGCTCTGCCTGTACAAGTACTGTGGGCGGTCGGCAAGTGGTTAAATAGATTTTTGCCTTCCTCTGGATTAAGTGTGAGTGTAGGATTGTGTATACATTATGGAGGTTTTTTATTTGTTTATTTTTTTCTGTTGATTAAACTAGATAGACTTGTGCCTATTTTCAAGCTGACTGTGTAACTATGTAAGCATTTCCACTGTTGTGCTCAGAGAGGGATGTAGCATAGCATCATGTGGCAAGAACATATAATCTTCCCAAGAAACAATCTGAATGAACCTGGGTGCAAAGCGCTGTGTAAGACTTAGATTAAGACCCCCATCATACTGGATGCGAATTGGCATGCAATTTGCATGCCATGCGACTTGCAAATCGCATGCCAAAACGCAGCCTATTGTCCACAATTAGAGCGGTCATATCGGTGCGGTTCCGACTTGGTCAGAGCCACACCGATTTCTAAAGTAGTACATGTACTACTTTTGGTGCGATTTGCATAGACATCTGTATCAGATGTCTTGCAAATCACACCTGAATTTGGCATGCCATCCAACTTTGAAATTGTGCAACTTCACTGTAAGTCGCACGATTTCAAAGTAGTGTTTGATGTGACCGGGGTGTAAAGTAAACTCCAGCCTAGACGTTTTTCTTTTTAACTTTAATAAGAGTAGTGAAGAGTTAGGCCTGGTTCACTCCAATGCAGTCTGCATTTTGTCCGTTTCTGCAGTGGTTTCTCGTTTTTTCACATGCATTTTTCACACGTTTTTTAATGCGTTATGCATTTTTTTATACTTTCTTTTTTTGGCTAATTTGGTGTTGCGCAGATTAAAAATTCAAAACGTGTCAAAATACATAAAAAATTATAGTTTTAATAGCTACTCATAGATGTGAACATGTCCCATAGGAAACCATGTTAAATGGAATGTAGTGCGATTCTGCAAAAAGCACTAAAAAACGCATTGGTGTGAACCGGGCCTAAGATTATCACTGTGGCAGTGCATTTGTCAGCTTGGCTTGATAAACAAGCCGTGTCACAAATCTGTTTGAAAACCTTTCACTTGGAAAAATATAGAAAGGAAAAGAAAAAGTAGTCAAGGTTACATACGCTCTGCACTATAGGTCTAAAAGCTGTGTGTTGCTTGCCATGTCACAATGTTTATAACATATTATTTTGCATTCAGTAATCTGCACTTGAGAAAAATAAGACCTATACAAAGATTCTGACAGATAACATCATGCTACAAGGAATGCCATCTTCAAGCTATTCTAGCACCTATTAATTTGTCAATAAACATTTCAGTTTGCAACAATATAAATTCATCTTAAATTTTAATTCTTCTGTGTATAAATTCATCTGTTTTCTTTGTTCCTTTCTTTCTTTTGTCTTTTCCATCTACCCGTTTCCTTTACTTTTTTCTCTGTAGTTTTCTCATTTTTAGTTATTACAGGTACTGTACTTATATAGCACTATCAATTTATACAGCACTATATATATATATATATATATATATATATATATATATATATAGTACATTCACATCAGTCCCTAATGCTCAAGTGGTGTACAATCTAAGGTCCCCAATTCACATTCATACATACACCTACTAGGGCCAAATTTAGACAGGAGTCAATCAACCTACTAACATGTTTTTGGAGTGAGGGAGGAAACTGGAGTACCTGGAGGAAACCCATGCAGGCACAGGGAGAACATGCAAACTCTAGGCAGGTAGTTTCAAACCAACGACCTTAGTGTTGGCAGGCGGAAGTGCTAACCATTTAGCCACTGTGCTGCCCTTCCTTTTCTTTCTTTCCTCTAAACTGCCTTCCCTTATTTTTTCCCATTTCCTCTCAGTTTCATCCTTTCTTCCTTTTGCCCTTACGTCTTTCTTAGTCTTTTTCTTTTCTATCTCTCGCTTGTTTTTTCTTTTCCTTAATGTAAAAAACCTTTTGAAGGCAGCTTCCCGCACCACCCCCCTTATACTCCCCCCTATGCTCCCAATCTTAGCCAAAAATATTGGCACCCCTGCATTTCTGTCAGATAATGTTCCACTTCACCCAGAAAATTGTTGCAATTACAAATGTTTAGGCATTCTCATGTTAATTTCTTTTGTTTGTATTGGTATGACACATAAAAATGGTGAAACAAAAAGCCAAATCTGACACATTCCAAGCAAAACCCCAAAAATAGACAGGACAAAATTACTGGCGCCTTCTCAAAATTGTACAAAATAATTGCATTCCAAGTTCGTGATGCTCCTGTATTTTATAATTAAACTCTTCTGTGTCAATTAACAGGTGATGGCAATATAGAAATCACACCGACAACCAGTTAAAATGGTGAAAAATTTACTCAACCTTGCCACATGGAACATGGAGAAGAAAAGAGCAGTAAATAACTATCTGAGGATCTGAGAACAAAAATTGTGGAAAAGTATGGACAACCTCAAGGAAACAAGTCCATCTCCTGAGATGTTCCTGTGTCCACTGTACGCAACGTTGTAAAGCGGGTTACAGCCCATAGCACTGTAGCTAATCTCCCTGGACAAGGATGAAAGAGAAAAATTGATCGAAGATTGCAATGAAGGATTGTTCAAATGGTGGCTAAAGAACCTCGATCAACTTCCAGACAAATTCAAGCTGACCTTCAGGCACAGGGTACAACTGTGTCAGCTCGCACTGTATACCGCCATCTAAATGAAAAGGGACACTATGGCAGGAGACTCAGGAGGACCCCATTGCTGACACAGATTCATAAAAAAGCCTGACTGGAGTTTGCCAAAACTTACCTGAGGAAGCCATAATCCTTTCGGGAGAATGTGGACAGACGAAACAAAACTACAGATTTTTGGTAAAGCCCATCATTTTACTGTTTTCAAAAAAAGCTATGAGGCCTTGAAAGAAAAGAATACAATTCCTACAGTCAAACATGGTGGAGGTTCACTGATGTTTTGGGGTTTTTTTGCTGCTTCAGGCACTGGATGTCTTGACCGTGTGCATGGCATTATGAAATCTAAAGACTGCCAAAGAATTCTGGGGTGCAATGTAGGGCCCATTGTCAGAAAGGTGGGTCTTTGTCAGAGGTCATGGGTCTTACAGCAGGATAATGACCCAAAGCACACGTCAAAGAGCACCCAGAAATGGTTTCAGACAAAGCGCTGGAGAGTACTGAACTGGCCAGCAATGAGTCCAGATCCCAATCCTATAGGCCACCTGTGGAGAGATCTCAAAACAACAATTCGGAACAGTTCCGGTCTGAGAGACCTGGAGTAGTTGGCGAAAGAAGAGCGGTCCAAAATCACAGTTGAAAGGTGTAAGAAACTCATTGATGGTTACAGGAAGTGATTGATTTCAGTTATTTTTTTCTAAGGTGTGCGCTACAAATATTAAATTGAGGGTGCTAATAATTTTGTCCAGTCCATTTTTGGGTTTTGCGTGGAATGTGTCAGAACTGACTTTACGTTTCTCCAATGTTTTGTGTCATACCAATACAAACAAAAGAAATAAACATGAGAATGCCTAAACATTTGTAATTGCAACAATTTTCTGGGTGAAGTGGTGCATTATCTGACAGAAATGCAGGGGTGCCAATATATTTGGACATGACTGTATTAACCACACAAAAACACACATCATGGTATGGTTGTAATTTCTTTACATTGATTTGCAAGCCCATTACATGTTACACATGGTCATAACAAATGTATATGTACATTTGTTAAGTTATTTTGTACAAGTCTTTCTGTCATGTGTCATACACTATACACATGATCCAGCTGATATCACACCTCTTTGTACTTGGTAGATGTTTATAACTGGTCCACATTTAATTGTAAATGGGCCTTTTGGTTTGTGTGCTTTACTGGTTTGTTCATTGTAAAAAAGAAAAATCTTTGAAAAATTCATAAAATGTGTCTGGTTAAAGAAATATGGTATTTCCACTTTTGCAGCCCAATTGGGATAACACCTATTTTATATTTGTTACATGATCCCATTCACAGAGAAAAAATAAAATTAAAAATGGCTGCTTACCTTAACCACTTCCTGTCCGGCCCATGTATATAAACAGCTGGATGGGAGCAGTGCAGGAGGGGTGGCCGTTTATAAACGTCCACCGATTGCTGAATGGGACCTCTGTGTGAGGTCCCGATCATGTGATCACTGATTGGTCAATCAGTGATCACATGAATAGTAGTAAGCAAGATGTCACTTCTGACATCATTGCTTACTACTAGTGAAATCTGTGAATGATCACAGAGGTCACATGGTACAGGGCTATTCACCACAGCCTTGTACCATGTGACAAGCTGTGACCAATCACAGCTCTCACAGTATTTCTCAATAGTCTGTAGGAAAGTTATATTTCTGCTATGTTGATTTGCAGGTTGACCTCTTACTTTGCATTGTCTTTGGTGATAGAGAGTCTGCTTTTTAGGGAATTAGCATAGTCAATGTTATCACCAGAGCCCACAAACTATTGTATATACCTAAAAATCAATCAATCCTGATGAACTGATGGCACTGATCTCATTTCTTGAGGCCCAAAAATGTCATGACAGTACAGATATCCCCTATTTAGTAAGATGCAGTGCGAGTTTTTTAAAGTTGTAATTTGTCATAATTAAAAAAAAAAAGTCACCATTTTTTTTTCACATACTGTCACCATGCAGTACAGCCTCATCTTATAACTGGTGTGGCGGTGATCAGGGACACTGACTAGTGTTCTTTATTCATTCATCTCAGCGACCTTGCTAAGAAATTATATTTCAATCATACAGTACAAGACACAGGACTTGTATTCTTAGACCATGGGTTTATATGCAGCTACCTTCAGGTGATTGGACACTGGCTGCTATGGCAATCCCAGGAGTGAACCATGTAACTTTGCCCACTGGATGAGTTTCCAATTATTTGCTAGTGTTCATAGGTGATAAACATGTTCTCCTCTGGAGAATTATTTTCTTTTTAACCATTTAATTTTTTTCTTCTACCAAGTTCTGACTGCTTGTTGCCCTGAGCTATCTAGTAATTTCTGGATCGGTAACCCTTGGTGTGTACCATGGGGACAATACCCAGACATCACTGTGTGGGACCAGCCTGTAATGTTTGCTTCAGGCACTGGATCCTGCATTATGCTCACACCTTGGTATGAAGTGCAATGTATCCTGGTCCATTTTTTTGGTTTCCATATCCTGAAAACCCCTTCAGGGGTGTGCCCACTGTGACAGATGAAACGTGGACCTCTAACAGGTTCAGCATCATAAGGTAAGACAGGGTTTCCCTGTGTATTTACACCAGTTCCTGGCTTTTATTCTGCATTCCATAGCACATTATATGGATCAATAGGCAAAGGATTTGGGCTGTTATTGACTTTATTGTGGTGACCCTTAAAATGTTGTCTTTAACGTTTTTTGCCAAACAGTTTTTTCTTCTCCTATTCAGACTTTGTCCCATAGAGTAACTGCATCACCCTAAATTCGCAAGTCTATGAGCCTGCCTACAAGCCCTCCTTCCAATGAAGGAGTACCCCCACCCCTAGGAATGGGGGGACATCTGTTGCGTTTGAGCCAGTCTGAATCCAAAACGTCCTGAACCTCTGGGTTCTATCTATGCCTCCTACTCGCTTTTCGCCTTGCAGGGTGCCAGCTTTATTAACCACCTTGCACCAACTTTACGTACAAGGAACAGTTTCAAGGTTTCTATTCAAACCTATTCCGAGCTGCAAAATCAAATGGGGGCATCCACCCAATACTGGGCCTTAAGTCTCTAAACAGATTTCTTCATGTACCAAGAATCTGCATAGGATTAATATGATCTGTCATTGCTTCTCTAAAACAAGGGGAATTTCTGGCATCAGTAGAAGTTCAATATGCCTATCTACACATCCCCATTTTCCCACAAACATTTTCTGCATTTTGCTGTGGGAGACCAACACTTCCAATTTGTAGCAATACCATTTGAGCTCTCCTATGAACGTTGAATGTTCACAAAAGTGCTTTTCCAGCTTCTGGCTCTTCTACAAATCCAGGGTATTCCTGTCACAGGTTTCCTGGATGACCTTCTACTGAAGGACTCTTCAGCCCCAACCTTGGTTACTAATATCCAGAGGATGATTCAATTTCTTCAAACCTTTAGCTGGATAATCAATTTTCCAAAGTCTGCTCTCCAGCTGTCACAAGGTCTGAAATACCTGCGACTAATCCTAAACACAATCCAAACCAGAATTTCCCCAGAAGAAGGTTGTTTCCCTAAAGTCCCACAGGAGGACTTTCAGGTCAAAATGGTACCCCTTGCCTCTGTATGAAGGTTCTGGGGTTAATGGTAGCTTCCTTTGAGACAGTTCCTTTTGCACAGTTTCATTCCAGGCCTCTTTTTTTGAACATACTCACAATGTGAAACAACAAATCCAATGCTTGGATTGTCCAATGTTTTATATCCAGCCAGAGAAAGCTCTCCCTCCCATATGGAAGAAAAATATATTTGAAATATAGTTTAAAAATACTATTCCCAAATATATTGCCATATATACAATTTTGGCCATATTGACTATATTTCAAAATATATTTCAATAAATATATATATATATATATATATATATATACTGCATGTTGAAATGTAATATTACAAAATATATGAAAAATATTTTTAAAAATACATTTCAAATATACTGTATGTCTTTTAAAATACAAATCTACATTTTTTGAATGCATTTACAAATATATGTAAAAATATATGTTAAAATGACTTTTTTTATATGTTTAAAAAATCTGAAGAATATATTTAAAAAATAAATTTTTAAACATAAATGCCTGGGGGCCCAAGGCTAGGGATGAGCAGTTTCCCAGTTACATTAGAATGGAGTTCATAAAGAGAGAGGAAAGGAAAGAATGAGAAGGGGAAAAGCAAGAAAAAGGAGTGGAGAGAGGTAAGATGCAGCAAGCGCTCCCAATGATCCCGTATGAGGCACCAATATTCTTATGAAGTAGATCCAGTCAAATAGGTTATCCATGGCTCCTACGTTTTTTTCAGACCTGGGCATCTTGCCCTGCAGGATGACAGAAAAGCACTCATTATCCATAACCCATGACATTTTAGCCTTTATCAGATAAAAAGGTATTGTGGGGGATTTCCATGATCTAGCTATGGTGATGCGTGCTGCTATGAAAATGAAAACTGTTAGACATTGTGTAGGTTTTTTGGACTCCCTCCACAGGGTCACCCAGTAGTGCTTGTTGTGGCAGTTTAATCAAATTGATCCCTGTAAGGGAAAGTATAAAATTATAAATCTGCATCAAGAACCTGTTTACTTTGGGGCACATCCACCATATGTGATACATTGTACTCTCCAGGCCACACCCTCGGAAACAGTAGGAGGAGGCTCCAGGGGCACACTTGGCCACCCTTGCTGGGACCATGTACCACCACAACATAATCTTATAGTCAATTAGGAATGCATTTATAATCAATTTAGCTAGTTCCTGAGCCAATTTATGCCATTAAGCAATATCAAATGTTACCCCCATATCCTGTTTCCATCTTTCCATATAAGGGCGTTTGTCATCTGTGGCAGTGCCGGGACAAGGTCAACTAGTGCCCAGGGTAAAGATGCCAAATAGCATCCCTCCCCTAAAATGTGCAAGCATTATGTGTCAGTAACCCCCCCCCCCCCCCAAAAAAAAAATTGAGCTTTAATCTACACACACTTATCTCCAAGCATACATTTCCTTTGTAAGCCAAAATTATCGCCGAACAAACTTCCCCCCTCTTCCAGTACAACTCCCCCCCCCCCCCAAAATCCCCAAGCAAGCTGAATAATTTGCACCCCACCATTCCCCCTCCTAGCACAAATCCTTTACCCCTCAAATTTCCCCTCTGAGCATAAATCCTTGCCCCCCCCGCCTTCCCCAAATCTCCCTTCCAACACACAAACCCCCCTTCTAGCACAAATACCCCCCAAATTTTGCCTCCTAAAATAAATTATACACCACTGCCCCCCTTGCATTTCCTCTTCCCAGTACAAATCCTCTCCCCCCCAATCCCCTTCCAACCCCCCCTCCTAGCATTAATCTTTTTTCTCCCTCCCACTACTAGCACAAATATGTTTAACCTCAGCACAAATGTTTGTTACTCCAAAGCTGCTGTCTCTAGTCCTGCCAGCTTGTAGGTAGAAAATTTCCATGCACCATTCCACCACACATGATACCACAGGACCCAGGCAGCCGCCCCTCCTGCTCACCCCTTGTCCCAGTCCTGATCTGTAGAGGACAGGATGCCATATATCTTGAAAATATAGCCCTTGTGTTTGTCCATTCATTTACCTAAATATTCTATAGATGTGGTTGTAGAGAGGTCTGTAACTCGCTTCAGTGACTGTATAAAAATACTCTATTTGAGCATAAAGAAAGTTGCTCTTTTTACGGTAGGTTGTATTTCTCTTTAAGGAATTGCATAGACAGCATCCCTCTATGGTAACAGAAATCAGTTATGCTTAAGATAGCCTTACTGGTCCACTACGAAAAGTATTGGGGGGTGAGGCCTGGGGTGAAATCAGAATTCTCCAGTAGAGGAGCCAAAAGAGTGTGTCTTGACCTAAATTGGTGTTTCAAAGTTAGTCTATCCCACAATCCTAGGGAGAAGGAGAAGGTAGGGCAGAGAATCAGGGGTTGATCCACATCAGATTTTGTACAGGCCGAGTGGGTACTATAAATGATTCCAGCTGCATCCAAATCGGCCTCAGTCTAGTATGAAAGAAAGATCAGGGGGGCCAATCGTGTGGCCTGGTATCGAAGTAGATTAGGGACTCCCAGTCTCCCTGCAGCCTGTGAGTAAATAATGTCTGTCTGTTCACCCTAGGCCTCTTCACACTCCAAATATAAAGCAACATTTTGTGTTGTAATTTTTAAAGGTCTGAGATGTTTAGGGACACCAGAAGTGTATGAAACAAATGCAAGAGACTTGGCAATATATTCATTTCAAGAAAGTGAAGCCTACTGAACCATGATGGGGGATTCTTTGCCCACCTCTGTAGGTCCTCCAAAAGTGTTTTGTAGAGTGCTGGGTAGTTATTTTGGTACAGGGTGTGAAGCGTTGGGGTCAGCTTGATCCCCAAATAAAGAAGAGCTTCTGTTTGCCATTTGAAAGGGAAAGTACAGAATGATGAAGGGCCTGAACAGTATGTTTTTCTAAAGAGTTATTCATGTGATTTATTATGGTTGACTCTAAGGCCTGAGGTAGAGGTGAAGAGTTTTTAAGTCTATATAAAGATTAGGTATGGCAGGAATAGGTGGTCACTTCTTTCCACCTCATGTATGACTTTTCTCTTCCTTCCCTTTGTCCTGTCCCAAAA